GGCAGTCCTGGCTCCAGAGTGCATGCTGTCAACCATTATGTTCTGCCCTCGGGAGTGAGAGACCAGGATTACAACCTGCTGTCCTGATGGTCACCCCAGTGATCATCTCAGCATTGTGGGAAATAGTTTGCATAGTAATGTTACAATGTTGGCATCGCCACTTGCTTCATCCTTTGTGATCTGTATTAAGGGCAGTAAGAAAGATAGGTATACATTATACCAAATTCAAACAGTACAGAAAGTATAAAAGAAAAGTAAATATCTCTTGAAATTCCTTCATCCAAAGCTAAAATCTTGGTCAACATTTTGGCAAACATCTTTATAGACATCTCTGTTTGAATTCATGTGTACTGATACATATTTACAGTTTGACGTAATTCTGGAATCCATTTGGGTAACCACATGAGTGGTATTATTTCTGTCCGCAATGGGCAAATGAGGAGGCTGTGACTCAGGAAAGGGTAGTGATTTGCCCAGTACAGAGCCAGTGCGTGCCAGGCTGGGACATCGAATCATGTGTGCGTTGGTTTGTTGGTTGGTTTTAAAGTAAGCTGTCATAGCAAAGACCACTTTTATTTTTTGACACCCATTGCTCCTATTCAGATGCCCTCCTCCCTAGCCCCTAGTCCTGGCTCTGAGCTAAGTGGGTTCCATGCCTCTGATGCTCCATTTTCTTTCCTGGAAGTTTTGTCTACTAAAGAAGAGACTCTGGGTAGTTGATGAGTAGGAATATTTATGCAGCTGTCGATGAAGCTCAATAAAAATGGCAGCGGAGCTTTTGCATAGAGTAAAATTGTGTGGCTTCCTGGCCATATGAAATCTCAGCTGAGGCAGCATCCTTTGAGATTGCACAGTGATTGCAAGTGTGGTGCAGGTGTGGCAATGACTTTTCCAGTGCCACCTTATCATTTCTCCACTGAGCAGTGTTTAAAGTTGTTTTGAAGAATATGATATTTGGAGAGGGAGAGATGTTCATTACCTCATCCTAAGCAACTTTCCTTCATCCTGATACTTTGGTCTTTGGGTTGGTATCCAGTTTAGCTGAAAAATGAAATCATATATTCAACTCTTGGGCTGTGTTAGTGAAAATGAACTCTAATGTGATTAGATATTAATGCAATGTAATGGAGGATTGGTATTAAATTGAGACCTTCTGATCTTATTACTCTGCAAATGCTCCCTCCTGCTTAGGCTGCTGCGCTGCCATCACTGCTTCCCCCAAGCAGAGGAGGGAGCGGGGGGGTGGCGCCAAAGTCCGGAGCTCCTGTGGATGCCCTGGGCTGGGGGGTGTGGGAGGAGAGGAGCAGAGGGGAAGACCAGGAGAGAGGTGTGCAAGTGAGAGAAGGGAGCTGGGGTTCAGGCCCCGGCTCTTCCCAGGACGACTCCCAGCAAGGACCTCACCTCTTTCGTGACCCATTGTGGAGGGAGCATGTTGGCCCATGGGATCCATAATTCTGGGACTGCCTGCACATTCAGAGCCATGAGCATGTTGTTGAGGACTGAGCTTATGAGTCTACATTTTGACCTTTATGCCTAGAATCTCTTAAAGATGTTTTTGACAAGCATCTTTAGGAAGCTAGAAAGAACAGAATTTTTTACTGTGTCTACCCCAGTACCACCCCCTCTTCACCCCATTCTTTTTGATGGAACTGTGACTTGAACCCAATAGCAGTCACCAGGATCTTCACTTGTCCTGGTTCTGTCTCCCTCTCCTGGAGGGGTGGTCTGAGAAGGGGCTGAGGACCTGCTTTTGTGTGTTCTGTAGCTTCCTTTGGAAATGGGGATGAGATGCTGACACAGCGTGTAGTGTGAATTGCAGTGTGACTCTCGGCCAGACGCAGTCCTCTGACCAACTGGAGGAAGGACGCAGGTCTGTGCTCAGTTACATGCTCAGCTCGAAAGTGATGGCCAAGCCTGTGGACGCCCAGAGCATTGTGGAAGCCCCACAGGGCCCTACTGGCTCCCCCTGGCCCCCAGGCTGCACTCACCCCAACAGACTCCCTGAGAGAGCCCAGCTGGGCCTGGGAGGAAAACAGTCCTCCCATGAGCAAACGGGCCAAGAGTCAAGCACTGGGGATGGTCAGATGGCATCACCTTCATGTATGAATAATAGCATTTTTGCAAAAATAAGCTTTTTTCTTATTCTGGTGTGAGAAAACTGCTTTCAGAGGCACACACTTTGCACACAGGATGGTAACGACTTTTTAATGACCTTAAGGGGACTGGTGTCCAGGCAGCAGTGAATCAGTCTCAGTGGGAGGCTCGTAGTGAGAGAGAAGATGGAACACCTGAAACTAAAAGGGGAAAAACAAACTGCAAATACATGTATTTTCTTTAGTAGCATTACTTGGTAATTAGACAATTACAGGAAACAGCTTCCCAGCAGCTGGCATTTCCACTGTGTGAGCGGAGGAGGGATGGCAACTACTGTGAACTCCTCATATTTATTACGGAAAACATTATTGGAGTTTACAGTCGTGGGTGCCATGCGCTCCTCCGGTGCATTCTGATGAGCTCCCGAGCATTAAACCAAGAGCAGGCCTCCTCTCCTCAGGGTTTGTTTGGGGCCTGCTTGGCTGGGTTTAAATGAGCTGGTCCAGCCCATGCTGACTGATGAGAAATTGCCTCCAAAATATTTGGGCTGCTTTTGATACCACTCAGAGACTGGCTGGTCCTGAGAATAGACCCTTTGGGTGGAAACTAGAAAGGGAAGGGTGCAGGTTGGACTCTAGCCTGAAGAGCCCGGGGTGCAGACCTTAGTGAGTGATCCCGCTTCTCTAAGGGCGTGTACTGGACTCCACCAGCCTCCCTTTGCCCTGCCTAGCCTGCCTTCCTGCCCTGCTTCGAACTCTCCTCCTGGCAGAACCCTGCCTTGAGGAGAAACCACGCCCACTCGTACAGCCCTGGCCGCGTCAGACCCTGCTCGGGCCGATCCTCTGAATTACCAACTTTGTCCTGCCAGCACCCTCTGAGGTAGGCCCAGTCGTGGCCCCGTTTTGTGGATGAGGAAATGTAGGTTATGAACTCCAGCCCACCTTGATGACTTTGTGTTTGGCCTCTTGTCACGATGTGAAGTTGGTCTGTACTTTGTGATGTTTAGGAGGGTTTTTAAGAATCCTCATTCACATTCACAGACAGGCAGGGGTGCCTTCACTGACGAGATTGTAGGCTTCTGAATGGGGACACTGTATATTTCCTGCCTTTCTCAGCCACACATCAGGTGGAACCCTGTCTCTCCAGGAAGCTTCCCTGGTTCCCTCTTACAGGACGGGTCGCTGAGGGCAGGAATCCTCCCTCCTCGGTAGACACAGCTCTACAGGGCCTAGCTGTCCGTAGGGTTAACGGACCATCTAACCTGGCAAATGGTTGTGCTTCCTTTCACAGGTCCTGGCAGTCAGTAACTTTTGAAAGACAGCCTGCCACCTTCATCCGAATTGTTGGAACACACAACACAGCAAATGAGGTAAAGGTCTCCTTTCATGAGAGGGGCTGTGATATTTCACGATGTACAGGTAAATGCTACATCTCAAGTTAAGTGGAACTGTTTACTCTGCTCACTAATGGCCTGTTGTTCAGACAGCTTGGTACAGAAGAAAGTCCTGCTCTTGCACAGTGGGGATATCATTATCTTTTCTAGATGTCTCTTCACTAGCAAATGAAAGCTAAGCCTTATTGCTTTGCTTATTCCTACCAGCCTCTCTGCAGAATTGCAACCGAAGAGACCTTGAGAGGTCAGATACCCTGTCGCTCGTCTCTGGGCTAAGTCCTCAGCCCTCCCAGATGACAGCTATTTCAGAGGTCCCTTGGCTCTCTGAGCGTGGTGTTTAAAGGACCGCAGCCCCACAGGGGGTGGCTGTCGTGCACAATTGCTGGTTTTCTCTGTCTACTGGGTCCTGTGCTGGGCGGTACATTAATGTTTATGAGTGAGCCATTTCTCTCCAGGCCTGGATCCCCAGGGGTGGCAGGTAAATTCCAGTGTAAAGTGCTGTTTGTAGATGTTGCAGTCAGGTGACTTGCCCAGTCCTCTAACCCGCCTTGCTGCTTTCTCTGGAGCAGAAATGGCTCCAGGGAATGTATCGGGTTCCTCTGGGTCAGGAAGGAATGAGTGCCACAGTGAGCAGAGATGCTATATAGTTGCTTGTCCAGACCAGGACACTTTTGAGTGTGAAGGAGGACGCCGTTAGTAATTATATGGGACAACAAGCTTAACCCAGGCTTGGGCCTGACGAGGCTGGGTGTGCAGCCACCTTCATAATGTGGGCGCACATTGGGTTCACAGAGGCCTCTCAGGATTCACCCTCACCACTGAAGATGACAATGGCATCTGCTTTAATTTTGCGTTTTAGAAAAATCAATCCATAAATCAATTATTGACCTATTTTGTTCTTCATGTGGGTCTCGAATAAGCACTAGTGGTGGGGATTGGTGGCTAGCGGATGGCCATGCCGTTGACTTCACTTGGATCGTCACTTGCTTTTATACAGTCATACTAGGTTCAGTGTATACCCCTGAAGGACCACTAGTTAGACAGGAAGCATTAGGAAGAGTAAGATTGAAATTCAAGAGGTAAATGAGAAGCATAAAAATAGTGACAGTTCTGCCGTTTCAAGTTCACATGACATTTCTCAGATGTACACAGGCCAGCTTCTTGACGATGGGGCCAGTGCAGTCGCACAGGGCCCTGTGCCCAGAAGAGGGCACTGCACGTGAAGCTCTGCAGTCACCATCTTCAAATTCTTAATAATTTGATCTCTGAATTGGGTTTTGTTAAGTGAATCCCCATGGGACAATGGGGCACATGCCAGGGACTTGGTACCTCAGCTCACATGAGATCCCACCTCCTGCCGCCCTGTCATCACCTTCCCAGGATGGGTTCTCAGCCACCCACTCCCCGACTCCTGGTGGCCCCGCCCAGCCTCCCCCTCCTCACCCCTGCCAGACGACCACTGCTGCCCTCCCCCCACAGTGGGTGCCTGGCCTGGTACAGGGAGGGTCAGCTGCCTGTGTGAGTGAGTCACATAGGTCCTGGGAGCCTAAGGAAGGTCTGTACTTACTCAGGGAGTATCCCCATGCCCAAGGGAACCAACATTATATAACAAGTGAGAAACACCACAACAGGTCACAAGAGACTACGGAAGAAAGAAAAGGCTTTTTTCCTGCGTTTTGAACAAGGGGCTCTACATTTTCATTCCTCCCTGGGCCCCGCCCACACATGACATAACTAGCTCTGGATCCATACATTGTATTCCTCTAATCTCAGTTCTCACAGAGGTGTTTCTCATTCTTAAAAAAACATTTTAAAAAGTGAAAATATTGTGATAATTTATATTTGTTTTGCCTTTTTTACTTATTTAGAATAAAAGTGATTTTACACCCACAGTGTGTTTCTTGCAGAGGAAAGCTTATAAAGCGAAGCCTGAAGCTTTTCCTCTTACCTTCTCGTTTCAAAACAAACCTGAAAATCATAAAAGTAAACCAGTTGATGTTTTTAAAAGCACAAAATCCAAGAATCTGAAATATCATGTCTTAAGAGCATTTTTTCTTTCTTTTTTTGATGATGTAACATAAGTAAATTTGAATCTGCATTTTAATACATATTTGATCCCCAAGCCAAATATCATTTTTTAAAATTTTGCCAGTAAATTCCAATTTTTCTTACCATTTAAACTAATTATGTGTATATTACTAAATTGTACAATTGAAATTTATATAGTAAGAATATATTGAGCTAAAATTATTTTCATTCACAGTCACTTGTTTCTTATGTAATGCACCCGCCACCCCCCCAAAAAAGACTAATTTTTTCTTTAATTTCTACATGGGACTCTAAAGTTGTGTATTACGATGAAAGGAGTTCTCACGTCAGAAATGTGCAGCACTGGGGTCAGTCTGGTCAGGGTTTACTTCCAGTCCCGCTCTCAGTCCCAACCCAGTCACCTTAGTGACCACATTGGGGGATGGGGTACTTAGACATTTTATTTCAAAAGCTGTTTTAGATGTGCATAATGTCCCATTACAGAGCTCTGAAGTTGGAGTGCAAGGTCTCCCTCTCCCTGGTGAAGTTTCCCAAAAATATCTGTGCAAGGGGCCCCAGCCACTTTGGTAGAGACTGGACCAGCCCGTTTGAATGTATTGACTGGTCGGTCACTAATTAACTGGTGATCTGTTGCATGTGGCTGATAAGCAACTTGATTAGCTGCCTTATTGACTCAGTTATTGATCACAAAAAAAGAAGCCCTAATGTGGTGTTGCCAACTGGGAAGCATCTTAAATCATAAAATAAACAATGAATAGCATCATAAGGCAAGATCCATAAACTGTATAATTCTCAGAGCACACAAGAAGGCAGGCAAAAAAAGTTGAATTTTGTTAGGCATCCAGAATACAGCAAACCCTCAGAGCAGTCTTTACTGAAGCATAGTGGCTTCCAGTACACTCTGTCATTTGGAAAAAGAAGCATGGCCTCTGTCTTAGGGTACGGTGGAAATGTCCGTAAGTCAGCATGGCAGAGTTCAGAGGTTTGAAAGGCAGGGTTTACATTAATGGAAGGAGGATGACTCAGGTTCGCCGGGCAAGACTCCTGGGGGAGAACTGTGGTGGACAGACAGGAGGCTGCTCACTGTTTCATGTGTAGGTGGCAGTCGGGGAAAGGAGGCTGGCGGTGAGGTCAGGAGACCAGCGTGTCTGACAGGTCCACAGGACAGCCTGAAATAGGGGTCAGGGTGCGTCTACTTGTCAAAGGGCAGGTGGGGTGGAGGGCACAGGGTACAGGGGGTTCCTCAGTCTGTCACTGCTTGCTTGCCAAACATCATTGTTGTTAGCTGCCATGGAGTCGGCTCCCACTCACAGAGACTTTATTTATAACAGAAGGAAACGTTGCCCAGGCCTGCGCCATACTCACAATCATTGGTATGTGTGAGTGCGGTGGTGCAACTATTCAAATGCCATTAGTAGCCTTCGTTTTAGAGCCAGGACCTGTTTCCCTTTAGCTATGGAATATTTATGTACCTAAAGACGTTTTGCTGATTTCAAGGAGCATCATTGGAATTGGTTTTTACCACAGAAAGGTGAAACAGAAACATAACAGCCATAGAAATGTAAACTGTTGGGGCCACATCTCCCAGGAAAGACTATTGTGGGCAGGAGAGGGAGGGTCAGAGCGGGTGCTCCTGGGAGTGGGCGAAGCAGAGGAGTTAGTGGTTAGACTGTTGTGGCAAAAGGTGGTAAGTGGCGCAGACAGAGCGGACGTGGCCAGAGCTGCTGGCCTGTTAGAGAGAGGCCTTAGTTAGCTTGTCCCTCCAGGAGCCGAGTTAGTTGACAGCCATGCGACTGTGGCAATGAGAAACTTCCCGACCTCCAGTCAGCCCTGCTGCCGTTGAGTAGCAGAGGTGGAACACAGGCGGCCAGTGAAAGCAGGGCCTCCCAGCTAAACAGACTCACATTTCTCCCCCACTGTAGGTGTGTGTGTCTGTCTCCAGTCACTGGCCTGCCTTCATCCAAGAGGTTCTGCATCTGTCTCCTGCATGCTAATTTCCCCCCTTCCCTCTGAGTTGGATGGCTCTCAGGTGCCAGCGGCTCTGCGGTCTTTGGAGGTTCAGATTTCTTGATCACCTGTTTCGGCACGCTTCTGATTTCCTGCAGCATTTCATCCCTCTCCTCTGGGAAGTGTATGTCTGCTGCTGGCATCTGTCTCTCATCTTCCTTTGTGAGCTCCACCGCAATGAATTCGTTTAATTTTTTAGCTATGTTTACGTCTTCTGTCAATAAATTCCCCTAATGCTTCCATAGTAAAGACTCCACCACTTTTTTTAATGACCTCCTTCTCCTTGTGTCCTTGGCATCATCCCTGTCATTTATCTTCACTTCTTAGAACACGTGCCTTTCATTTCCCACCAGTGTGTGTCTGTCATCCTCTGCTCCCTCCTCTCCTGCTCTGTAATCTCCTGTGTGCCGCGTGATCCTCACACGCCTCATTTCTCTCCCTTACCCTTGGATTCTCTTATCGCACCCTCTCTCTGTCCACTCCAGGGTGTTCTTTGTCTTCCTCTCCCACCTATCACTAGATGGCAGATGTATGTCAGTTTGTCTTTCAGCACATCCAGCCTCCCGTGTTGCACTCCTTTAGTTGTTTTTGTTCATCTGATTCTTTCCCCCACCCCCAACCCCCAACGCCTGTTGCTAGAAAGGCCCATCTTCTCTGCTGCTTCCTCAGTCACTTTATGGTGGTCTCGTTGCCAACCTAGCAAACTCGTGGTCAGCCAGTGTGATTGCTCAACTGCCTGTGCTGCTGATCAGCTCCTCTGAGCCACTCAGGAGGCAGATATGGTTCCTCTTCCTTACCCTCTCTTGTCTGAAAGGGTTAGGAGCTAGGCCTTGTCAACACCACGGCAAATGCCAGCCTCTTTATTCTCTGGTGGGTCTTAAGTTTCAACTCCATTGACTGTGCCACAGAGCCTTTCTGGT